GCACCAATTTGGGCCCCTGGTTACAAAGGGCCTTGTTGTACTGTTGATAATACAGCCACGGCTCAGATCCCCTGAAAATTATTCTCACACTTCTGTCTGTGAGTGATCTGCTACATAGGTAATATTTCGTTCTTCCGTTAATGTCTGCAGTGTCATGTCAGTTGAAATAAAAGCAAAATTAAAATTAGTTACAATCCCTTTAGTATTAAAACATCTCATATTGTGTTGTAGAAAATGTAATTGATTAGACAGAGCAAATATTGAACATTTAAAGTCACTGTGAGAATGCTTTCAATGCATATTCTATAGTTATGAACAGGGTAAAACGGTGATTATGCGCTGCACATAAAGACAAAATTGCTCACCTTTATAATTATACCTGTCCCATAATATTGAAATTACTTTTCTGTGTAGCCAAATAAAGGGGAGTAATAAAAGATGTAATTACATTTTTAACAGCTGTTGAACATTTCCAGGAATACTTCTATTTCAACATGTCCAGGGGTTAGTTCTCTGTGAAATATGGTGGTTTGAAGCTGCTCTTCTTTCATATTTGCACAAAATGGGGCGAAACAGAAAGAAGTCTCTGGATGTAGGTGAACCACAACTCCAAAACCAAAGGACACTGCCCACCAATCCTTTCCAATATTTTCTATTGGTCATGGGAGAACTGTGTGCCAAGTTTGGTTCAATTGCATCGTTGGTGGGGTTCAGAATGCTCTTTGATTGTAGATGAACTATAAATCACAGCAACTACAACTCCCAAATGACAAAATCAATTTTTTTGAGTGAAGGACATGCATTGGGTTGTTAGGTGTTCTCTGTGTTGTATATGAAGAATTGAGTATCCTTCTCGAAGAGACTGCTCATTAGCATATAGACCCCAAATTTGCATGTTAGTACCAATCTAAATTTTTAGACCAGCATGCATTTTCTGAGTTGCCCACTCGTTGCCCTGGCTGAACATAATTGCTATGGACATTTCAGCAAAGATCTTGATCTGTTATATCTTCGGGCGCAGAAAAGGTTCTGCAGAAGACTGATTCCTTGAGCCATGCCCTACCTGCTTTGGAAAAGTAATCTATGTAAACACCTCCTGTTTAGAAGTGGCCACACTCAAATATGAAATGGCTCTTGGGATAAATTGGCTTGAAGGAGGTACTGATGTGTTACTCTCAATGGTAATTGGTTTCTTGTATTGGAAACTTTAATAGTGGCGTTTTTGTTCGTTTGTTTTTTTATTAATACTGATTAGCATCGAAGAGCTAAGAAGAGAAGAGAAATCATGTTTCTGCTCGCCTGTATTTGGACTTTGTTCCATTTCACTTGTGTCTGGTAGAATCATAGAACCAGAAGGCACTGCAAGGGCCAACGTATCTGACATCCTCACCCCAATGCAGGAACATAAAAATAAAACACTCCCAAAAGAGATTTCTTAAAGGCTTCCAGAACAAGAGAGTCCACAACACACCAAAGCAATTTCTTACCATATTGTTGAACAGCTCTTACAAACAAGAAGTTCTAGCTTGAATCTCTTTTCGTGTAATTTCAACCTTAGTTCATGTTCTAGGCTCTCAAGGCACAGAAAATAAGGCTGTTCATTCTTCTAATGATATAATAATAATACTTTTTTTGTATTCCACTCTGTCACCACAGGGGGAGATATTTAAATATGACTGTCACATCACCTCTCAATCCTATATAAATAAAAATGTAATGTTCGTTTGTGGGATTCACAGAACTCAAAAACCACTGGACGAATTGACACCAAATTTGGACACAAGACACCTAACAACCCAATGTATGTCCTTCACTCAAAAAATTGATTTTGTCATTTGGGAATTGTAGTTGCTGGGATTTATTTATTTATTTATTTATTTATAATTCAAACTTATATGCCGCCACTCCCCTGGGGCTCGGAGCTGCTTACAAGAACAGGCTAAAATCTAACACAATTTTAAAACAATTTAAAACAATTTAAATACAATTTAAAACAACAATGTCAGAGATCAAAGGCCTAGTTCACCTACAATCAAAGAGCATACAATCAAAGAGCATGTAGTTCACCTACAATCAAAGAGCATTCTGAACCAATTCAATGATGGAATTGAACTAAACTTGGCACACAGTTCTCCCATAACCAACAGAAAATACTGGAAGGGTGTATTTTGGAGTTGTAGTTCACCTACATGTGGACTCAAACAATGATGGATGTGGACCAAACTCTACACGAATACTTAATATGCCCAAATGTGAACACTGGTGGAGTTTGGGGAAAATAGAATCTTGACATTTGGGAGTTGTAATTGCTGGGATTTATAGTTCACCTACAATCACAGAGCATTCTGAACCCCACCAACGATATAATTGGGCCAAACCTCCCACACAGAACTCCCATGTGGGCCACAGCAACGCATGGCAGGGGACGGCTAGTCTATATAAATAAAAATGTCATGTTCATTTGTGGGATTAACATAACTCAAAAACCACTGGACAAATTGACACCAAATTTGGACACAATACATCTATAGGCCAACAAGTGACCATCCCTCATAAAAACACTGAAAAACACAGCAGAAGGGGACTTATAAAGCCAAAAACAAAAATACCATTACAACGCATGCACAAACCTATATATATATATATATGCGCGCAACCACACATATACACAAATATATAATATATACATACACATATACACACATAAAATACATATACACAGACTGGGCCACAGCAACACATGGCAGGGGATGGCTAGTAGGAAATATGAAGCTTCCCATCAGGGGCAGATGGCTTTTGCATCTAGAAGGGAACTTTTGGATCCTGTATTTGAAAGCCATGCTGATGTAGTGTCTAGTCTGTCGGTCATGGATTTTAGAGAACCAGATTCTAATTACCATGAAATTAACTCTGTGACTTACTATTTCCCCTCATCTAAACCTTCTGTTCAGGACTTGTGAGAAGGTAGTGGGGAGCAAGAACAAGGCCATGTTGTCTTGATACAAAGGCAGGATGCAAATGCATCTAATAACATTTGTCTTAAAATAAATAATGTATTCCTTTTTTCATGGAACTTCAAGAACCTTTCCACTTATCTGGGTTTTTTTGGGTTTTTTTGTTTTTTTTTTTTTGAAATATCAAAAACCCATGTGCACTTTCTTCAGTAGGTTGGCAAAACAACCTCAATATTTTATCAACACTACTTGCTAACAAGAAAATGTATGTACAACTTCTTCCTGGCACTGTACTTGTTAATGTAGACGTTAATCTGAGGTGTGAACATACAGAAGTGCTCTTGAACTTTTTCCTTTAAATTGCTAGACTTGTTTTTGGTGTCATTTTAAAATGAAAACGAGAGAATTGAATTACCCCACACATAATATAATTAACATGCAGCCATACAAAGATCACAGGTAATAAAATGAAGGCTGGGTTTTCTCATTCGTCATCGAAAACCACACATTCCTCTTTTTTGTAGTTAGTGTTGTGTTTTTCAGCCAGATATTATATTGTTGAATGGATCATTGGGTTATTCAAATGCGGGTTTACAGGATTATCCAAATATTTGTGGGGCAAGATTCTGTACTATCCAGGTGCCTTCAGCACTCTAGTATTCTTCGCAGCTAACACAAAAGTGTTTCATTCAACATTAATGTAGTGGAGAGAAAGTACATAGAGTGGTATCGGTTAACACGGTGGGTTAAAATGCCAGCTGCCGAAATCTTGCTGACCAGAAGGTTGGCAGTTCAAGCCACAAGTCAGGGCGAGCTCCTGCTGTAAGCTCTAGCTTCTGCTTACCTAGCAGTTCAAAAACAGTGATGTGAGTTGATAGATATAGTTACTGCTTTGGCGGGGAGCAAAAAGGCAACTATGAAGACAGGCTAGCAATTCAGTCAGGACAACAAGCTCCTCTGCATGGAAAAATGAAACAACAGCACCTGGCCATGGCTGGAGTCAAGCACAGCCTCCAGATGCCAGAGATGAAAAAGAGGGAAGCTTTGCCTCTGTCTATGTACTATTTGTCTTTGTTAATTGTATAATAGCATTGTATGTTTGTCATATATGTTCTGTAATCCGCTCTGAGTCTCCTTGCAGAAATAGAGCAGAATATAAATAAAGTATATTATTATATTATCACTAGTAGTTGCACAAGCACTACTGCAACTTGTAATGCAAGCAAAACGTAGCAGAACAAAGTTGTGAATTGTACAACAGGTTGTATATAGGGAATCAAAATATTAAATTTGCCTGAGAATGAAAGCAGAGTTTCTATGAATGGAGGATGCTGTGTGCACTGTGTCACTGGAACAACCTAAAATGCAAAAATGTAAGACATGTTCTTGAACATCTGTGAATGCATATTTGTGAAGCCTGGTTAGTTAGGTACAAGTCCTTCAACACTTGTCCAGTCTATACCTAATGAACAACATTTGAAATCAAAAGCAGTGTTCAAGCTAAAGTGAGCCAAACACATCCCTTACTAGACTCAAATTTTGTGTGTGTATGTGTGAATATATATATATATATAAAATTTCTATTAATAATTTATAACTGGAATTTTAAGGATTGTTTGGTCTTCTTGTGATTTGTACCTGTTTTACTTCTGTAATTTAATACAAAACCTTTTAAAAGTTTAGGAATATTTTGCCTTGTTGGTTGCCAAGTGGTAATAGTGGTGTAAACACAGTTGTGTAGAAATAGCAAACCTGAAGCCATCGTTGGCTGGGGCTGGCATCAGTTCTGGCTTCACCATGCCTTATCTTTACTAAGCAAGTTTGTGTTTATAGAAAACAGTGCAGAAAATAACACACTAGCAGGAAGAAAAACAGTGGTCAAACAACCACTTGGGTTTCATGGACTGTATGAGGTATATAAATCAGCTTTGGCAATAGCACCGTTTTGTCTTCACTTCAGACTTTGCCCTCGGGAAAGTCAAATAAGCAGAACCCTGCTGTAGGATTTTCTTTAGTCTAAGAAAACAGTGTTATTTCTTGTTACAGTCTCTGGTAGATGGATGCTGACATGGACTACGAACGACCTAACGTTGAAACCATCAAGTGTGTGGTGGTTGGTGATAATGCAGTGGGGAAGACACGCTTAATCTGTGCAAGAGCATGTAACACCACCTTGACCCAATACCAGCTTCTGGCAACTCATGTACCTACTGTTTGGGCAATTGATCAGTATCGGGTGTGCCAAGAGGTATGTATTGTGAACTTTAACATGTTGATGACAGGTTTTCCTTTGCACTGATCAGTTCCTAATTGTTGTAGTTGTATGCCGTCAAGTTGTTTCTGACTTATGACAATCCTAGCATGACCTTGTCATGGGATATTCATGACCAGATTTATTCAGAGAGGGTTTGCCATGGCCTTCCTCTAAGGCTGTGTGTGTGTGACTTGCCCAAGATCACTCAGTGGGTTTCTGTGACTGGATAAGGATTTGAAATTTGTTTAAATATTACAACAAATGCCTCTTCTTCCAGTTACTTAATATCTAACTTCCAAATTCCCTTTTCCTTGAAGCCTTAATTTAAAAGGGGTTGTTACGTGCTTTCTAAACCTGATGGAGGAGTAATTTCAAAATAAATCTCTGATACAGTATGGATTGTAGGCCATTTCACTCTAGATAGGCAGATCTTTATTTTGTTGCTTTTCCAAGAGGGGACCCAGTTTATCTTACTGATTTCGATATGACTTTAGAACTATTAAATTATTTTGCAGTTAAGTCAACAGTCATATCAAATTGCAGGTAAGTTCTCTAACCAGACAAGTCTGAATTGAGTCTCCCTATAACTGGAGCCCCCAGGTGTTAGGGCATGCTATTGATCATGCTGCCCAAAGATTATGAGATTGTATAGTCCAATAGTACCTCTGTACACTAAACTGGAAAAGCTAGCTCTTGACCTTTATTGTTATCCTCATAGTTTTCTTTAGAGACAGGTGTTTGCTATAAGCTTTTAATGAGCAGGATTGTTTGCCTTTAAGGTTCTTGAACGTTCTCGTGATGTTGTTGATGAAGTGAGTGTTTCTCTCAGGCTGTGGGACACATTTGGAGATCACCACAAAGACAGGCGCTTTGCATATGGAAGGTAAGTAAAAATTAGTCCAACTTTTTATTGACAAATATCATAAAATCTAGAAAAGGAACTCTAGTTTTACAATAAAATGTGGTGGAGAAGAAGTGGTAGCTTGCAGTGTCACATTGAAGGCATACGTTGATCAAGATTGTTGATATCACGGCCTCTTTCAAAGAAGGATATCTGTCCCAACAATTCTTTATATGCTTGAAATAATTTTTTAAAACTCTGCATTTGAGTTTACTGTAGACAAAATGTTTTTACAAAAGACTTGTGGTGCTGCGTATTTTGAAGAGCACCTACAGAATTTTTGTAAGAAGTCATTAAGACGCTGTTAATTGCTTGACTAAGGTATGGTAATCCTCCTTAAATAGCTGTTATGCCAGGTGCATTTTGAAGAACACCGTTACTTTGATTCTACACAGAGAGAAATCTTTTCAAGCTTCCACTTCCACATGAGGAGAAATCTGGCTCACCTTATAGTTTCAAGAATATTCCATCATTTTCCTTAGGCTGCCTCTTCCTTTTATTAACTGCTGCGGATGGAAGAAATGCTTTGTGTCTCCAGTCCAAAATCTGTTGTACTCAGCACATTCCTGACAGGGTCAGAGTAACAAGTTGCTTAAGATTCATGTAGGATTGCAACCTGATTGAAGTATGTTAAAGTCAATAGGAGACTTCCTCACTATTTTCTTGATTTAATTGTAACTAAAGGGATTAGGTTGCATTACATGAATATCAAATATCGTAACTTTAGTCTGACAGATGTTTGGCTGAATTCCAAAGGGTGACTTTATCCTTACCCATAAGAGTTTGGTATTGAAGGCAGTCTGTTAAAGTGGGGTAGGGGCACGGTACTACACAAAAAGCCCCCTTTTGGCAATGCAGAATGAATTGCATAGTCATCTGTATGTAAGGACCTGTTTACATGGACTGTTAACACTCATCTTAAATTGTTGCTGGCTGTCTACATGACATCCAGGTACTTATCACAGGGCAAACCAGGTTAATTCAGCTTAGGTCCGCATTAAAGAAAGTTAGGAGATTATTTATTTGATGCCCTTGAGCAACCCCACAGTTGGGGCATAGTGTGAGTAGCACAACTGGGTCCAATACAAAATGGTCCACGGTCAACATGGGCCATTATGGCTATCCCCCTTTCCCGTCACTCATCAGTGGATGTCACAATTTCTCATCTGTTGACTACCGCAATTCCTCATTTTCTGCAGAATACCTCCATTTCTCATTTCCTTTGAGAAGTACTGCTTTTCATTTGCCCTGAATCAAGGGTGTTACTTCTGTCACCACTGTCAGATGGCTGCAGAGTTCTTTAATAGCTCCTGGTCATCACAAGTATCCAATCCTAAAATCAGCAGAGGACCCCACATGACCAGGGAGAAGGAGGAAAATGGTTCCCTTTCCTCCCTGTTCATGCATGCATGCAAGTGCATTTGCTGATGTCAGAATAAGATCCCCATAACAGCCAGGAGCTCTTCTGGAGCTCTGCAATCAACTGACAGTGATGATGATGACAGGGAAAGTAAGGTGACAACCCAGCAGAACCAAACCAGTCTTGGCCCAACTGGGTTGTGTAGGCTCTGTGAAACACCCACTGCAGGTTGGGGACAGAGTGTATGACCACTTCCAGAGCCAATTGAGCCTGTGTCTTTGCTGTGACCAATGCATGACAGACTGCCTTTCATTGTAGCACTGATTATTCAGAAAGGATGTGCATTCTGTGCATTCATAACCATATGTCAATTTTTAGTTTACCAAAAATATTTAATCAGCTTCATGGATTGCTGGAGCGAAAATACTGACACTAATTATTATATTCTAAGTCCAATTGCTAGTCGTTGCTTCAGTCGATCTGCTCAATGTTGAGACTAACAAATTAAACTAATAATGTTCAGAGTTTACTTTAGGACAGAAAAATATCAGGGTAGGGAAACAGTCCCTCCTTATATGGCGTCTGTTACACAGAGAGTGTATAGTATACATCCTCAGCCTCACTCAGCATTTTCCTCTGGAGAAGGAAGGAAGATCAATAAGGGCCAGCTTATATGTCAATATGGGCTACCACATGTGGACTCTGCAAAAATAGATTCCAAATGACAGCACTCTAAGCAAGGGACTTAAAGTTTGCAAGCATCTGGCTATGTGCAGAGATCTGATTTTCATGGGAATCTCTATGTACAATGCCACATATTTCTGATTGATATTGATGGCAAACCTATCACACAATCAGACTGATACTACTACTACTACTACTACTACTACTAATAATAATAATAATAATAATAATAATAATAATAATAATAACTTTATTTATATACCACTCCATCTCCCTGAGGGGACTCAGAGTTCCCAGGTAACATCACAAAACATACAAAGTAAAAACGGCATAACCAGCTTGCCATGGCAAGCTTACAAACATTATGGACTCTAAAATTACAACAGCAAAACAACAGGGAAAACAATCAGGAACATCTAATCAACTCTCAACAAAAGATTGCCCCCAAGCACTGCCAGGCCATCAAATGCTAATCAAGGCGGTCAGTTGAAACATTCACACCTAGCTCCAGCAGACAAGAGTTCTTTGTCCAACCCTGGTCATTCCACAGATATATAAACCCATTTTCCTAGTTCCAACAGACCTCACTACCTCTAAGGATGCTTGCCATAGACGCAAGCGAAACGTCAGGAGAGAATGCCTCTAGAACATGGCCATACAACAAACCTACAACAACCCAGTGATTCCGGCCATGAAAGCCTTTGACAATACAGGATATAAGTCACATAGGCATCACTATGGTGAGATCTGGGATCTCAGGGAATGGACACATATAACATCCTCTCTGCAGTCCTGACAGAAAAAGCCTTCTGATAAGTGACTTGTTTTGTAGCCATCTTCTTGACACTTCATCTATGAAAACCCAAAAGTAAAGGAACAATTCAATATTTTCTTTGCCCCGGTGCACTTGAAGACTGCAAAATGTTCAAGACATTTCTCAAACTGGCGCTAGATCCTAATCTAATCAAGGGTTAGCAAGTCTAAAATCCATTGGTTCCTGATTTAGCAGAGCTGGCTATGTCTGTGTTGACTCTTTGCCTTCCTCCTTGATGTGTCCTTATAATATATGTCAACATAACACCCTGTCACTGAGCAGATTAGTGGAGATTAGACAGGCAAAATCAGGCATGTTCCAGAATTCGCAGAGATAAAAGGGTGGGATAACAACATACTTTGATACTTGTTTTACAAAAATGATGCATCATTTGTTGGAGAATAATTACACAAGTAAAGTTGGAAATAGTATTGTGAGGCTTGGAGAATGTCTCAGAGCATGTCTTTTCTCCGAACTGGTGATCAAAAATGTTGTCAACTCATTTGACTTTTATCAAGTGTTTTTCATGGTTGCAAATGTGTATTTAGAAAATCAGCCATATCTCTAACTTTTCCCCACTGGAAGCAAAAGCCAGGGTGGGAGACATTAGATAGAAAAACAGTATAAAGGATAAGATTTAGAAGCCACAAACACACCATTACCTATTTTCTGCTTCAAAATGAAGCCTCGGTGGGCTGTACTATATATGGGATCATAACAAAAACGTGACCACATATTGCATTTTTGTTACTGTTATTGGGATCACAACAGCTACTCTGTAACAGCCATGTTTACCTTTATCATAGGTAATGGGACTTTCCTATTCTTTTGGGGGATGTTCTGGATTAAATGGAATTTTACTCTACATTTGTGATTGTGGGTTTGTAATATTATGAGGTAAATTTATTGAATAATACTGAGTGCATTTTTTAAATTTATAAAAGTGATACCTCTTCTCCCAATTCCATACAAACGCTCTTCTTACACATTCATGCATGTATTTATTTATTTATTTATTTATTTACAGCTTTTATATTCAGCCCTTCTCACCCCACAGGGGACTCAGAGCGGATTACAGTGTACACATATATGGCAAACATTCAATGCCAATTTTTGAGATACAAACATATACAGACATACATAGAGGCTATTTAACTTTTTCTGGCTGCCAGGGGAGCTGTCGCTTTCATCGTCCATCTGCGACGCTAATGAAGCACTTTCCGCATTCCCCGCATGCTTCCCTGCTGGAATGCTTTGCTGGAGTCTTCTTTATGGCCTCATAAATCAGTTAATTTCGCCTCCCCACACTTTAAGGTGGTACCTTATTTTCCTACTTGACAGATGCAACTGCCTTTCGGGTTGCAAAGCTCGACAACAGGCTACACACAATTGGTTGGAAACCCACTCCAACCCGGGCTGGCTTCGAACTCATGACCTTTTGGTCAGAGTGATCTTAATGCAGCTGACACTCAGCCAGCTGCGCCACAATCCCAGTGCACCCACAATCCCAGTGTACATATCAAAGGTACATACACTCCGTTCCCTTCTTTCATTTTGGGGGATTCAGAACATCAGGTTGCTTGGTGTTATTATGTGATTTGTTGACTGCTTTGTATTCTCCGATCAGTAACCAATAATAATAATAATAATAATAATAATAGTAATAATACTTTATTTATACCCCGCCACCATCTCCCCAAGAGGACTCGGAGCGGCTTACATGAGGCCAAGCCCGACACCACATCAATAAAACAAAAAACAATAAGCAAAAACAATACAATTAAAATAACTCACATGTAAACAATAACACACAAGGATTTAAAACCTATGGCCGGGCCAAATGTGATAATTTAAAATTTAAAAAATAAATGCTGGGCATGAACAGAGGAACGATGTATCTGATAGGAGGGCTTTAAAAGAAATGAAGGGAGAGCAACCCAACAAGTAGTTAAAGTGCTTCTGAGGACATTTTGCTGGGGATTATTTCCTTATTCAGGGAAGGCACAATGGAACAGCCACATTTTCAGGCTCCTCCTAAAGAGTGCCAATGTGGGGGCTTGCCTGATATCTTTAGGAAGTGAGTCGGGGGCCACCACAGAGAAGGCCCTCTCCCTCGTCCCCACC